TTTATGAAATGTTAGCCAACATCCTCAAATAAATGTTTGCTTCCGAGGGATTACTTGGGTTAGGTTGTAATATTTGTGATCGCAATCGCATTCGGTATAAAATGGCAATTAAGCAGTATGCATTTCAAAAGTGTTCTTTGTTACTCAGAAAGTATACAGCTTGTAGCCAAACTCTAAAGTGAATACAATGGAAGATCAAGCTCAAAATTATTCGGAAATTGGACAACTTTCATAGCATTCGTTTGAAGACCTTATTTGTTACTAAATAAGTCTAAAATCGCATATTTTCGCATGCCTAGTTCGACATACATATGGCTGGTTTAGTCATTGCCGGCAATAATTACCCTAATACAGTTCGCAAGCCATTGGTGCATTTTCACAGTTTTTCGATAGAGAAGTCCTCCAAAAGGAACTTTTTTGTCAAACAATAAAAGATTGCAGATCTCCTCACCCTGGAACAATATTCACAACACCTGCTGGAAAACCGGCCTCTTTGGTGAGGTTGGCCACGTAGTTGGCCGTCAGTGGAGTCTGCTCAGCGGTCTTCATCACCACAGTATTGCCCATGGCCAAGGCGGGAGCAAACTTCCAGGCCTGCATGAGAAGGGGGAAATTCCAGGGAATGATTTGTCCACAAACACCCACAGGTTCCTGACGGGTAAACGAAATGTAGTCACCGTCGATAGGGATTGTCTTTCCGTGATATTTGTTGGCCCATCCGGCGTAATATCTAACGACGCGTAGAGGAATAACTTTAAACGAAACTCCGATTTGGGCTACATATACTTTAAAAAATTACACATGGTCAAAATATAAAAAATAGAAGTACCTCGTGTAATTGTAATATGAACCGACTGCCAATCGGCCATGTAAAAGGCGAACACGTGGGATTTTCGCAAATGAAATTCATCACGGAATGTATACCTACCGGAAACATTTGATAACCAGTGCGAGGTCTACTTCATATGCTTCTTTGAAAGTTTTTCCATTATCAAGCGTTTCGAGGGACTAAAAATTGAAAGGTGAAAAAGAGATTTTGTACAAAACACCGAACGCATTTCGCATTTCCTTAGCTCTTTCAAAAACAACGGAATAAAGGTTGCTTCGGTCTTAAAATTTACTTCACTTAACCGATAGTAGTATTATTAAGGTTACCCAGATGATTGCTAGTTAGAGGTTCTCAAAAAATAAATCTACATGCGTATTTTGTATCCAATGTTCAACGAAAAACCAATAATTTTAAAAGATGCATAATGATATAAGCATATAGTAAAGCTCATTTTACATTACACAAGTAAGTTCCAGCCCGGGCTAGATCTAAAATGGGCTTTTTCAGACGTGTTTCAGAAGATCGTAAATGGTAAGCTTGGAACCTTTTTCCTCGCTGCTTCAAAATGTCAAAACTTTACCTAAACACAAATTCCAGTAATAGTACCTTTGTTAAAATTAACACTACGTTTAGGCCAAGGGACTATGACGAAACGTAATCTTAGAAATATATAGCAGATGTGCTACTTCATGGAATTCTACCGAAACTTTGAAATGCGTTTTCGATAACAAAATACGAAATATCTATTATCATACATCATAATCCCAAGATATTTCAGTCACTTCAGGATGCCAGCTTTTGCATACTTTTTTACTCCTGACACCCTTTTAAAACGGCACCTAGTAAAAGTGCCTTCTTCATTGACTTTTATTGCATCGCCAGTTCAAAAATATTCTAAAGAAAAGTGTACTTAAAACATTCTCGTTCTGATTAGGTAGCAAATTACATCCTCTGAACATTGTATGCTAAAGAAAGGCGTATATTTTGGCTTTAAAATGATTTTAAATTCCTGAATTATTTTGAATTTAACCTGCTGTTACCCGCATTCAGTGTTCGTAAGTACAAACTGAATTTTCGCCGTGTAAGGCGAATGTTGCAGAAGAATGGACTGTGGAATTTTGCAATGACTCTTTAGTCTAGCTTCGAAGCAATTTTATTAAGTGAAAAAATACGATGCTCTATGAATGAGCATTTCACGGTTCCAAAAATTCTCTTAAGGAGCGCTTTTAAAATCGAAACATATTCTTCCCTCGAGTATAAAATTGAATAGGATGTAGCTTGAAACTTTAAGAGTACAAGAAATAACATTGGTCTGAATAGTTTCTTTACAATAGAATCGAACTGATAAGAGAATTTCAAATCGATGGAAAAACGCATAGTGTTTAAGTAATAATATTTAGTGTAGTGTTCAGGGAAGAACGCAAACTGTTCGCGCATCGGCATCCTTACGTGAATGAAATACTTGGGAGTGTGCTCTGTGAGAATTAATATTAAATATCCATGTGCGTAGTATTTTCCAATCGAAAACACTCCAAAATGTTGGTAAATATTTCACGAGATAGCGCATCAATCGGACAAAGCCTATTCATGTAAACAATGAGTATAGAAAATGGTTTATAGAAAAGCGAGGATAAACATTGTCCCGTAGTAGTTTCAACGTACGATTATCCTGCAAGAACTGATAAAAAGTAAGTGTAGCGGTTAGCCAATTTCCTTAACACTGAGTATAAACCAAAAAGGTTACGATGAAATTTTCCATAATTTTTCATCTTCTGCATTGAGTCAATTGCAATCGACAAAAGAAAAATAATTTCGTCTGATAGGGACACTACAGAAGCAAGGGTTTTTGTACGGTCAGATTTGATTGCAAAACTTTTGAAACTGTTGGTTGGAATTTTTTTTCAAAAAGCATTATACGAATTTAAAAAAAACTAACTGCAATATATTCACGATCCCGTTCGATAAGATCAGCCAATCGGTTGAGGAGAGCGCCTCTGGCGGATGCATCCATTCGTCTCCACTCCGATCCGAATGCAAAAGCACTCTTAGCAGCTGCAACGGCTTTATCAACATCAGCCTAAGCAAAAAATTACTAAAGACCTTTCTAACCTTATCGCCTGCGGCTACGTCGCAGATTTTTTTGCCCGTTGAGGGATTGACGGTAGGAAACGTCTTGCCACTTACAGAGGGGTGCCATTCGTTATTTATAAATATCTAAATAGTAATGAAAAGTAAAAAATGAAGAAAATGTTACCCCTGTATACTTGACTTTTGGGTTACGAATTCCCTTAGGTGTCGAAGAAAAGAGCCTCAAAGGGACTGCCGAAACCGATCTCAGACGAAACATCCCAGACTTTGCTTTGGATCTGCAACGAAACCGACTTCACCGAAGCACTAATTGTCCTAGCGGGTAATCGAATTCCGCAAGGGTTTAGCTTATTTAAACTACAGCCACATCTAAGGAAAATGTATACAGTTTATTTGCAAAAAGGTGATTTTGAGGAACAGAATACTTTTCCTAATCCGATATGATGTAACCGACACAAAAAACTGAGATCAGCTTGTGAGAAATCTGCTCATCAGTTTCACGGCAATTTAATGGACCTTTAATGTCAGCATTTTATGTGGAACACTGTCAAAAAGTCTTTCTGGAGTCAATATGTCCTTTATTTACTGCTACACTTATTTAAGTAGATTTCATCTAGCCATTTATGGATATGGGTAGATTGGTAGAGCAGGATCGACTACTTCTAAATATAGGATGACACAGTTTGATTTCTACAAAATACTTTACTAACTCCGTTCTTGTTATCTTCATCAGTTAACATAAGATGCTTCGAGACTCACTGCTGTGAGGCTTTTTAGTTCGGCGCTCTCGTTCCTCTTATGTATGAATCTGTTCAACCGTTGATTTCGATTAAGTCCACCAATTGCACCAACACGCTGGTACAGCATGTGAGAGGTTCAGTGGGTAGATTAAAGTGATAGTGGACGTAGTTAGTGCCAACCGCACTCTTCGCCTTCGAACGAAGTCAAGAAGACTAAAAGGGACCTGGTTTAGGCTGCTTTTCCTAATGGACGCTGAAACACCGCCTTAGTTTGTCTTAATTCACAGTAGACTTTGCACGGGTACTATTGTACTTCCTATCCTCACTCACCCTATGTGCTGTGAAGACAGGCCCAAGGAGGCCGAGACTGATATGGTTACAACTATTTCTACTACTACTTACTATCAATATAGCCAAGTCTTAGTATTACTGGTAATACTTCTGACGCTTACATTTGTCAGAAGTAACGCTTATTTGAAATCAACGCTGGGGCTCATACCTCCTTTGCCCTCAGCAAGGAGTGGGAAATCTGGGATCATGTTAGTTCGAGTACATATATGTTTGAGGTCCTGAGCACATCAGGGCTCGCCCTGTATTCCGTCCTCTCAACACAATCCTTTCAGGCAGTGTCCGTGTCAAATATGAGTTGAACTACGATAATGCTGCTATAAATACTTACCTATACAAAAGTGCTAATTCTAGTAACCAGAGTTACTGAGACCAGTAACTAGTATATGATGATATGGCCTATGTGTGCCTGTAGGAAGCCGGCATCCAGTATGCACTCCCAATTTGTATGGGGTAAAGTAGATTAATAGTTTGTGGGTTAAGACAAAGCGTTATTAGCTAGAAGCACAAAGTTCTACTACATCCTTATGACTTACGTAGTGACCTTTGCCGTGTATAGGCTGTCTGCAGGCCTACTACAACGCCTCCTTTTCGGTAGACCGAGCATAACTGCAGGGTATCGTCTTCCTATGCTGGTATTAACTGGCAATTTAGCGGAGTGCTAGTAGTACTGTAAATATACCAACCGAATCTATAAGTTGGAGTGGCTGCTGATTTAAGTCAGCGCTGTGGTGCACGTAAACCTGGATTTCTGCTATTCCGAGTAATACATGTTCGTGGCTAAAGCACGTCAGGGTTGGTCTTGTCTTCCGCGCCCTCATCGCTTTCCGCCATAGCTGTGTCAGATTTTATCAAGTTTCGGTCTACGACGACTAGGAACTGCTGTTGGATGTGAATGCTGAGGCGGCTTTTAGCTGAGAAAGGCAATCGATGATGCGATCCCACGCTAAGAACACGTCAAAGCCAAACCGCGTCAGATTCCCTGAATATGCGAAAACGACTACGTACCCCGTTTAGTGAAGAAGACCAATGGGTAGAAAATGTCCGCTATTGAATCAACATGCAAACGAGTAAAAGTGTAGCGGGAAACGGTTTTACGCTAACTTAAACAAAAGGTTCTAAATGTAAGTTACAGAACTGCGTAATGGCAAGAGTTAGTCTAGACAGTTATGTACAAATGAAAATATGGCGAAGTTGTAAATGCGTACAAGTTTGGCAAAGGGCTACCACAGGCTCACACTGGTCACCGTACCTACTAATAGCAATAAAATATATTGTAATGCAAGTTCAGTAGAGACAGTCCACTAAATGGGAGCCCAGGCTTTACTCACCTTTGGGTTGAGTTTGCTTTGCGTGCGTCTATATGGATATAGTACACAGTGGGCCTCCTACAGTAGGCAGTAAGGCTAGATAAACTGGTGACCTCGGTCTCACTGCTTGGCGCTCACTTCTTGCGGAGTTTGCAACATTTCGCTAGTATATCTCGGTGCACGTTTTCCAATAGAATCAGTCTAATTCCTGTTGTCGTGCTACAAGACGATGCTACTGATATTTACTTTCAGTTCCCAGGCAGATACGTGAGCCGTTGAGAAGCCAGGATACCTGTCAGGACATTTACGGTTTACCTCAACCACGGTGAGGATAGGAATCTATATGTGGACTCAGCGTTTAGCTTGCGATAGCCAGTCAAGCATCTTATCTAGCAACCTTTAGCTGTGTCTTCTTGGAACACATGTGGACGCGAAATCGGGGTCATAATTTGTCGAGCCGTGTTTTTAAGGTTATACAGGGAGTGTGAATATGGATTTATACTATTCCGAGTAACTACATATTTGAGGCCCGGAGCACATCAGGGCTCTCTTTGCCTTCTGCCCTCTCAAGTCTATTCATCAGGCTGTCATATTATTGGCTGACGAAATTTTATGAAGTAATAGATGAAGTCTTACCATGACTTTATGTCGCATGGCG